GTACATGGGATTTCTCTGTGTTGTTTCTTAAGACTGCATGTGAACCTACAGTGATCTTAAAAGGTTAATTTAAAAATCTTAAAAGATTTCTTATAAGGTAGCTTTGAAATCCTTGTGAGATGCTCAGTAATATGTTAAACATAGTCCATTTTCTTCCTTCTTCATCTTAAAGAATACCCTTTCTCAAAAAAAAATTAAAGAAAATGTTAAGGGAAAAACTGAGACTGCTGGTTTATTTTTAAGTAGTTTGTACTTTGATACTCATTTGATGTCTTTAAGAATACATTTGCAAAGATAGGCCTTCGTGTAGTGCAAAAAAGATGGTAGGAACACATCAGCTAGAGGAAGGAGGAACCCCTTTAAAGGCAAATTACCCCTAAGTGGTTTAGAATTGCTGTTGTTATCTAGGAGGTTAATGGCAGACTTTTCATAAGTGTCCTTTATTTTCCTGGATATAAGCCTTCTATGACTTCCCTCTGACCAGTGGTTTTCACACATTTCTTTTTTCTTACTACAACCCTTAGTAATAAATAGCTTTTACATCGAAACCCAGGAAGGAAGATTCAGATATCTATATCTATATCTGAAACAGAGAGTTTACACTTTTCACCCTCACATATGCTGCCCTCTTGACACTTCCTTTCTATTTTTTATTTCTTTTTGCTAATTTATTTTTAGAGAGAGAGATAGAAACGTCGATGAGAGAGAACATCGATTGGCTGCCTCCTGCATGCCCCACACCGGGGATTTGGCCCACAACTTGGGCATGTGCCCTGACCGGGAATCGAACCAGTGACCTCTTGATACATGGGTTGACGCTCAATCACTGAGTCACATTGGCCGGGCTATTCTTAATTTTTTTTTTTTATCCTCACCTGAGGACATTTTTCCATTTTTTTGTTCAGATAGAGTAGGAGGAAGAGAGAGGGGAGGGAAAGAGAGAGAAACATTGACATGAAAGGGACACATTTGAGTGGTCGCCACCCGCACGACCAACCAGGGCCAGGGACAAACTGTAACCGAGGCACGCTCCCTTAGTGGGAACCAAACCCGGGTCTCTCTGGACCACAGGCATGCTCTAACCGCTGAGCCAAACAGGCCAAGACTTAAATTTTTTTTTTTAATGCTGATTATGGCTTGGTAATTTGAGTTCATGATTTAAAAAAATTTGTTTTTTCTTTATTGATTTTAGAGAGAGAGGAAGGGAGAGGGAGAGAGAGAGAAACATCGATGAGAGAGAACACCAGTTGGCCTTCTCCTTCATGCCCCCCACTGGGGGCTGGGCCCACCACACCGGCATGCACCCTAGCCAGAAATCTCTTGGTACATGGGTTGATGCTCAGCCACTGAGCCACACCAGCCAGGCGAGTTCATGATTCTTGATTTGTGGTGTGGAAAAACACTTCCTCAGCGTGCTTGGTAAAGTAGTCCCTGGCAACTTTCAAGGCCCTTCTCATCTGGTTCTGTTTGCCTTTCCAGCCTGCCTCCTTCCTCCGCCAGTTAAGTGGCATATTCAACATTTCCTGAACCTGTCTCACATAGTCCCATCTCTGTGCCTGGACTCTTACTGTCCTTTCTCTAGTATCCTTCTCATTTTCTTCCTGTTCTTTCTTGTGTCTTGGCTCCTGTAGTAAAAAACATATTGTCCATTGTACCATTAGTATGTAATATCTGTCACTCTTCAGAATTGCCCATGAAATCTGATATGTGTCCAGTTCAAATTTTGTCCTGTGACTTCTTCCCTGACTTCTGAGTATACTTTTGGCCAGTGTTTTTTAAAGTTTTCCATTAAGAGCACTATAAGAAATACATTTTATATTGAATCTAGTATATACATTTGTTGTATGTATTTGTATGAAATGGACACAAAAATTTCATGACATAATGCTATGTGAACTTTATTTATTTAATTTTATTTTTTGTTGTTAATCCTCATCCAAGCATATTTTTCTATTGGTTGTTTTAGATAGAGTGGAAGGGAGGGAGAGAGAGAAAGAGAGAGAAACATCAGTGTGAGAGAGAGACATCGATTGGCTGCTTCCCGCATGATCCCGACCAGGGCCAGGGATTGAAACTGCAACCCAGGTACATGCCTTTGTCCGGGAATCGAACCCAAGACCCTTTGGCCCATGGGCCAGTGCTGTAACCGCTGAGCCACACCTGCCAGGGCACTGTGTGCACTTTAATATTTTGCATTTTCTTTTATTTATTTATTTTCTTCAATCCATAACTTGATTTCAAAGCCACAAATTGGAAAACATTGATTTAAACCATCCTTCTCCTCTCTGATTGTCATCTGCAGAAAGCTCTGTTACAGACCTTTACAGTCCATAATTGCTGTTAGAAGGAAGTCCCTAATACCTCAAGACGTGTGAACAGGACTATGAAGTTTAATAAACTAAATATATATATAAATAAATAAACTAAATATACACATTTCAACACAGAAAACCTTAAAATAATGCTTAATAGAAAAGTTATAAAATGATACTCATGGTACATTATTATTAAGGCACATTAAAAATACATAAACTGTATATTGTTTATGGATACACATACCTGTACTGATTTGAATGAGAGACACCAACTTCACATTCTTGCTTCTTGATAAAAAGGGAGAAGAAATAGGATTGGTGGTGGTTTTTGTTTATAGTTTAATTTTTTGCTCTTAACACTGAAATGAGAAGCAAACATGCCATCATGTTAACATTTGTTAACTCTAGGTGGTGGGTATAAGAATACTATATTATAATCTTTACCTTTTTATCTGAAATAGTTTGTAATAAAAGGAAAAAATCTCTGTAATGAAAATTAATATCTGCCTATAAACCTCAGTTACCTTGTTATCTCATATGATCTGGCTCCTAGCTGCTTCTCTGACCTGCAGGGTACTTTAGCCATGATCTGTGTTCCCCAATATACTCAGACCTAATCTTTCTTGTACTTAGATGCCCAATTTGGAGAAGGAGGCTGTAATTTGTAATTATTTACTGGACAGTGTTTGCAAAGAGTTAAGGTAACATTTGGTCATTTCCTAGGCAGGACTGAGGAGGCAGTCTTTCTGGACGAGGCTATTTGCGTTTTCATGTTGTGAACTATTCTTTTCTGGATTATGCATTAGGCAGGAGACACCTGACCTTAAAAGTTCCAGGGGTGTTGGAACCAGAAAGGTGATAAGAGCATACAAAGACCTAGATGGCAACCAGTCCTATAGGCTCTTTTGGGCATCACTATTTCCCAAAGAAACAGATGCCATCATTTGTAACATTTTTAGAAGGGTCTGCCACACTTGTCCTGTAATGGCATAGTCACTTGTTTCAGTTTGATCACCAATTCTAATTTGTTTTCAGCAATCTTTTTTTTTTTTATCCTCACCCGAGGACATTTTTCCATATTTTGTTCAGATAGAGTGGAAGGGAGAAAGAGAGAGAGAGAAATATCGACGTGAAAGGGACACATTGAGTGGTTGCCACCCATACAACCCAACCTGGGCCGGGGACAGGCTGCAGTCGAGGTACGTGCCCTTAGTGGGAACTGAACCTGGGTCTCTCTGGACTGCAGGCCGGCGCTCTAACCGCTGAGCCAAACTGGCCAGGGCTTCACCAATCATTCTTTATTTTTATTATTATTGCTATTATGATTATACTTTTTTTTTTTAAGTTTTTCTTTATTGATTTTTAGAGAGAAAGGAAGGGAGAGGGAGAGACAGAAATATTGATTAGAGAGAACATCAACTGGCTGCCTCCTGCCTGTCCCCCACTGGGGATCGGGCCCCACAACCTGGGCATGTGTCCTGACTGGGAATCAAACCAGACCTCTTGGTATATGGGTTGACACTCACCCACTGAGCCACACCAGCTGGGCCAAAGCATATTCAAAACAAAAAAACTGAAAATTAGAATGCTTTGTTAACATAAAAAGAGTATTTTAATATGTACAGTCAGAATTATGTTCAAAGATGAAGCACTAGAGGCATCTTCTAATGGGAACAAAACAAGCAAAGCAACTCTATTATTTCATATAATTCTGGAAGTTCTAGCTATGTGATAAGATGAGAGATAAGTAAGAGTGACCATTCTGAGAAGGAGGCTCTCATTGAGGTGGTAGAAGCCTTCAGAACAACAACAGAAAATATGTTAAAATCAATAAGTTCAGTGAGACAACTGAACACATAATGAAGATACCACAGTGAGAAGCTTTCCTATATATAGCAATAACTGGTTAGAAAAATTAATGAGATAAAAGAATCCTATTCATAAATAGCAAGCTTAACAAGAAACATGTAGGAGCCCTTATGAAAAAAGTTGTACTAAAGACAAAAATCTAATTAAGATTTTTATACTAATATTGTAATTGTATAAAGTTGCAAACAAGTTAAATGTTCACCAAAAGGAGAATGGTTTATTATTTATACCCTGTCCTATTCCAAAATTATTTTAAGATAGCTTTCATGATATATACTGACATAAGTGAAGAATTCAGGCAAAGATAAATTTGAGGGATAGACCAGACTTTATTCTGAGCTTTCTAGTAGCCAAAATAAATGATCATGATCAATTATATAATTCATATTCTTATCATAAAATATTGAGTTGATTGGAAGAGACAGCTGTTCCTAGTACTGAGGCCAAAGAGAGCTTTCTCGTGGGTCTCCAGAAGAAGATAACTGCCAAGTAGGGAATGATCATTTTGATAACCTAATGAAACGAACAGCACCCAGCTTTACAGAGCTGGTTCTTAAATCCCTTGCTGATGGGCCACACAGAACCAGTGAACAGCTTGGTCAGGAGCATTTGCCATGGAGTGAGGAGTGTGTGTGGCTCTGGCTGGGATAAGCGTGAGATGGTTCAGTGCACTGTGAGGGCAGCTCCGTGGAGTAGTACATTTCAGACTAAAACTGGTTCTCAGCTCAGGTGTTGTGTCACCCTGGTGTCCTGTGAATCTTCATGGTTTGACCACACTGAATTTTTACCAATGTGTGATATTTATTTTTGCTACAGCTGAGGATTCACACTGCTAAGAAGTCTCATATGTTGGTGTGCAATATGAATGCAGCAGTCACCAGGGATGCCGGGCAAGGAGGCACGAGGTGCCACTTAGGCTGGCACTGAAAAGGATTTAACGTGGATGGACTGAACAGTCTCATAGATATTCTCTCAAATTAGATTTTGGTAAGTGCTGTGAAGAACACATTGGCTGTTTCTGTCAGATACAGGTTCATAGGTTTTAACAGTTGACTAATGGAATCAGCCTCTATTGAGGTACGATGCTAGAAGGCTGCTTACCTGAAGATTTTCCTCAAAAATCAGTGTGTGGTTTGATTCAACACATGTTGGAAAGGACAGTCAAGGTTTCCAAATGTCTACATGCTAGAGCATAGCCACATTCCTTTACGTTTGGAATCCTTGGTTTGTAAAAAAATGAGTAATACTACACATTGGCATAAGTAACAGGGAAAAAAGTTGTAAGGTGTCTATATAACTTCCTGGCAAATCCTTCAAGGTAAGTGATGGCCACGTAGACAGTAACCAAGGTGGTTTGGGAATGTTTGGAATATGAGTCCCAGCTTTACCTTTCTTTGAGCCTCAGTTTCTTCATCTGCAAAATAAGGATTTTAGTACTCACTTTAGGGCTAACCAGTTGGTAAGATTTAAATCTAATAAAATCCCTGGTAACCTCCTCTAAGCCATTTTGTGTATGTGCCTCCCAGGCCAGTGGTGTTTTTACTACTACTGAGTCCTTATCTAATGATGCATTAGAAGAGTGAGCCCTGTGTTTGCTGAGACAGCGTGTAGATAAGACCTTTTAAATTATTGCATTGATTGGTGGGCAGTCAGATTCTTTCCTTTCAGGTATCTGCGGTAGAATTTTTAAAAGTATGAGATAACAAATTTTGAAAGCCCTCCATTGTTCAGACTTGCCCCTCTTATCCTGGTCATCTATCCATATCCAGGCCACGGAAGAAGGTATCTGAGCCAGGGGTTAAAGGCAAAGGGCAGTTGCCCTGAGGGTTGTCACATCTGGGCAGCTCCATCTCCTGCTACCATTTACTGTTGAGTTGGGTGCACAATAAGTTTTAAAGACTTTTTCATTTGACTTCACACTCACAGGAAAGCTCTTTGTCAGGGCTCCAAGAAGACCCCGCCCAACTTGCTCTGGTCTTGGCATTTAGGTTCTCAGAGATATTAATTTCATGACATGTAGAATAAATTAAAGTTAAAAGACCACAGTGTGAAATGTCAAAGAAAATAGCAAGGAGATAGGAAAAATGTAAATGTTGGTGAAATTAGTGCCTCCCAGTAGGAAATCAAATCAATACTTCAAGGAATTGGCATTGTTTCCTCTGCCAGAGTTTGTTTTTTTTCCCCCTGAAACTGGGAAAAATAGGCCTAAGATGTGGACTGGGGGATGGAGGTGACTGCAGACTAGTGGTCCTTTATCTTACTAATGTCAGCCAACTTCAGCATTTTGATTATTACAGCATAGTTTCGGTCCTTTTTTCTTACTAGAGCCCTTCCTGTCAAGGCAAAGAGGAGGCGAGAGAACTCCAGTGGCAGTGTACACACACACACAGGGTGGAGCAGAAGTAGGTTTACAGTTGTGAGTATGTGAAACAGTTTATTCTTGTACTATTATTAATTACTGTGTTGTTTTCCATATGGGCAACTGTAAGCCTACTTTTGCCCCACCTTGTATATTCATATATACATAAACACATGCATACACACACACACACACACACACACACACACACCCCATAATAGTAATATAAAGGAGAAATTTTTTATTATGATAATAAAATTTATTGTTGTGTATAAATGTTTGTTTATGACCATACTGGAAAGCATAAAGAAGTAATCAGAAGCTTTACCAACATGTAGAATCCCCTAGAATGTAGATAGATGCAGACTGTCAAGTATGTTAGCATCACTCTTGGTGATGTGGTTTTCAGAAATGGTAAACATCTCTTGGTAAAGATCTGAACAAAGCAAAATGCAATATTTTTATGACTTAAATGGAAGTTCCCTTCGTAGGGAATTTAGCATATATTAAAACCAGGTTACATTTACTTTGTGTTTATAGGTAAAACTGTGTTAGGGACGAGGCTGAGATCATAAATATTTAAAGGTGCTGTGTCAGATTTTCACCATGCCGAAATTGCCCACTAAAATATTACAGGACACCCAACATGCCTGACCTCTGCAAGGGGCACCAACGGATCGTGAAAACAAAGACGCCAGAGGGTGGCCCTGTCCTTATTGGCTGGCAGAGTTTTTCATGATCTTGTCGGCCAGATGGAAAAACATAGAATGACGGCCTGGCTTCACCCAGGAGTTCAGATCCACTGGACAAGCTTCCCACTGGGTGGGATGTTTCTAGTGACTTCCCTACGTCTCTACAGAGAGTACCAAAGGCTATTGGACATTGGTCATTTTTTTCTAACAGGTTTATTGCACTATAATTGACATATTACATTGTAAAAGTTTTTGTACAACATAATTATTTGATTTATATATTGCAAAATGGTTACTGTAATAAATTAGTTAACATCCATCACTTCAGTTTTTTCTGGCGATGAGAACATTTAAGATCTTTCTTAGCAGTTTTCAAATATAAATACAGTATTGTTAACTGTAGTCACTATTTTGTATATTATATATTAGAACTTATTTTTCTTAAGACCAGAAGTTTGTACCTTCTTTTCTTTTCTTTTTTTTTTTTTTATCCTCACCAGAGGGTATTTTTCCATTTTTTGTACAGATAGAGTGGGAGGGAGAGAGAGGAAGGGGGAGAGAGAGAGAAACATCGACGTGAAGGGACACATCGAGTGGCTGCCACCCGCATGACCAACCAGGGCCGGGGACAAACTGCAACCGAAGTACATGCCCTTAGCGGGAACCGAACCCGGGTCTCTCCGGACCGCAGGCGGACGCTCTAACCGCTGAGCCAAACCGGCCAGGGCTCTATTTATCTTTAAATAGAGTGGGAGGGAGGGAGGAATAGAGAGAGAGAAACATCATTGTGAAAGGGACACATCAACTGGTTGCCTCCCGCATGCCTGGGACAAACTGCAACTGAGGTACGTGCCCTTGACCGGAATTGTGCCTGAGACTCACTGGTTCGAGGGCCAATACTCTAACTATTGAGCCAAACCATCCAGGGCTAAGAAGTTTGTACCTTTTGACCACCTTTTCCTGTTTCCCCCACCCTGGACATTGATCATTAAAATGAGTATTTGGATTAGCTGTCCTTTTTAAAAAGTACTTTCCAACCCAAAGATTTTCCATTTCTCAATAATGTTTTTTATTTTTCTTGTTTTTGTTTTAATAAGAAAATGTAATTTCATTGACGTGCTAAATAACAAAGATGCTTAGTATCACTATGATTATTTTCTGTGACCCTTTCCATTCTAAACCCTCTGGGTAAGGAGGTTTGCTCTTTTTCTGAGCTCAGCCCCTTTGGGCCCTCCCTTTCCTGTGGGAGCCCCCACAAAGCTGACAGGTCCTAGCCTCCGCTGGGTTTCGAACAGCTGCCAGCCAGAGAACCAGCAATCTTTGCCATCCTGCTCAGTCTGCAACAGGAGTCTCTTCTGCAGTTTTTCAGTGACTGATTTTTCCCCAGCATCACATGTAAGATAAAAAGAGAGTGAGTATAGGCCACGAGAAGTATGTGTATATGAAAGTTTTTGTTGTTATACTGTTTAATTCTCTTCTGTTAGGAATCAAACAGAAGTTTAGAATTGAATTTTAACTTGTCTAATATCAAGTTTTATTTTTTATTTAAGGCCGTTTCTGATGCTTGGAAGCTATCCTTTCAGCCACAAAGATGGTAATAAATCTTTGCCTCCCACAGTTCAGACCAAGAATTTACTGCAACAAGGTAAAAAAAACAAAACAAGCATATACATATATATAAGTGCACTGTATCTCTTTTTAATGTTTTGCCCCATTTCCTGCCTTGTAGAGTGAACCTAAGTCAGGCTTAATGTGTTTTCACCCACATTGTTTTAGATGCCATCAGATGGTATCTAGATAAGATCGGGTCAGGCTGCACCTCTAGAGTCAGACAGCTCCGTTGTGAGGTGAGCTGGGACTCATTTTGTGCTTTCCCTTTGATGGTAAATTTTAATTTCACTCAAAGTCAGTGAAGGTAGAAACACCCCCCCGCCTCCCCACCTCCCCACCGCCAGTTCTTGTCATTTCAGATGCTAGAAATAAGGGCTTATATTTGTATTTCTTATTCTTCGTATAAATTCAGCTGCCACCTCTTGTGTAAGGAGGGTATCTTTCCACAGCTCAGAGCAGGGAATAGGAAGCTCTTGGGAGAATCGAACCCCCCCTAATTTGGAGTTTCTGCACTCGGCATATTATTTCAGATTCCCAGATTGTTAAACTGACTCCTTCAAACAAAGATATCTTAAAATTTCCAATGGTTATAACAAGTATTAGAATTGTTAAAAGGGGCTCTGGCCTGTTTGGCTCAGCAGTTAGAACATCGGCCTGTGGTCCAGAGAGACCCGGGTTCGGGTCCTGCTAAGGGCACGTACCTTGGTTGCAGTTTGTCCCTGGCCCTGGTTGGGTCATGCGGGAGGCAGCCAGTCGATGTGTCCCTTTCACGTCAATGTTTCTCTCTCTCTCTTCCTTTCTCTCCCTCCCACTCTATCTGAACAAAAAATGGAAAAATGTCCTCAGATGAAGATTAAAAAAAAAAAATTGTTAAAAGGAGAAGAAGTTATTTATAATAACTTCTAGCACATTCACTGTTTTAAATTTCCCATAGTTTTTTGTGATTCTTGTTCCTATGCACACATTTAAAACATTATTTTATTTTGTTAATCCTCATCCAAGGATATTTTTTCATTGATTTTTAGATAGAGTGGAAGGGGAGGAGGGAGAGAGAGAGAGAAACATTGATGTGAGAGAGAGAGAGAGACACTGATTGGTTGCCTTCCTCACAGCCTTGACCAGGGCTAGAGATCAAACCTGCAACCCAGGAATGTGCCCTTGACCGGGAATCGAACCTTAGACCCTTGGGTCCATGAACTGACACTTTAACCACTGACCCAAACCAGCCAGGGCCACACATTTTCTTTTTTAAAGCCAAGTTTCATCATTTATAGATTTACAAGAAGTTTTTTTGTTTTTCCTTCCTAGGGAACTTGTTATAATGGGTAGTCCAAATACAAAATTGAAAACTTTAATGAACATCTGTGCATGTTATTATCCCCTGAAATAAAAAACTACCAGTATATCTGCCCTCTTTTTTTTTTTTTAATCCTTACCTGAAGATATTTTTCCATTCATTTTTTTTCAGACGGAGTGGAGGGAAAGAGAGAGAGACACATTGATTGGTTGCCTCCTGAATGACCCCGACCAGGGCCGGGGACTAAACTGCAACCGAGGTACATGCCCTTGACTGGAATTGAACTTGCAACTCTCTGGTCTGTGGGCAGATGCTCTAACCACTGAGCAAACTGGCCAGGGCATATCTGCCCTTTTTTTTTTTTTTTTTTTTTTTGTTCGGGTAGAGTGGGAGGGAGAGAGAGGAACAGAGAGAGAGAGATAGAAACATCGATGTGAAGGGACACATCGAGTGGCTGCCACCCGCACAACCGACCAGGGCCGGGGACAAACTGCAACCGAGGTACGCGCCCTTAGCGGGAACCGAACCCGGGTCTCTCTGGACCACAGGCCGACGCTCTAACCGCTGAACCAAACCGGCCAGGGCCATATCTGCCCTCTTTTCAGAGATGTTATTTTGAAGGAATTTTGGTTGAGTTAGGCAGAGTTTTGTTGCTCATATATATTAATTCCCACCTGAGGATATTTTCCCATTTATCTTCAGATAGAGTGGTGGGGGGAGAAAGACAGAGAGAGAGAGAAACATCAATGTCAGAGAGAATCATCAATTGGTTGCCTCCCACACGATGGAACCACAACTGAGGTAAGTGCCCTTGACTGGAATCAAACCTGAGACTTTGGTCCAAGGGCCAACATTCTAACTGCTGAGCCAAACCAGCCAGGGCTGTTGCTCGTATTTTTTAAGAATGAACAGTACTTGGGGACACCGTCAAGTACTCAGCTTTTGACCTGATCTTGGGTACCTGCAAAAAAAATAAACAGGAGAATTTGAGGTAATAGAGGAACTTTTAAATGAGGAACTTCAGATTTTCTTTAAAGAATTTTCTTAGAAGAGGTAAGTTCTTGAAAACTAGTTGTCTTCACTTGGATCACATCAAATCAGTTTGTCTCATATTTGTCATTAACTCTAGATTTCAGCTGATGGCTATGAAGTGGAAAATCTCATCTCGGAAGACCTCACAAAGAGAAGTCACGGCTTTAGGACAGAGTATTTTATTAAGCCACCAGTGTATGTGACAGTTTCCTTTCCCTTTAATGTGGAAATCTGTAGGATTCACATAGACCTCACAGCTGGGGGAGGCCAAAATGTCACTGGCCTGGAAGTGTACACATCTGCCTTATCCAGCAGAGCGTCTTGGCCTAGCCCTGAGCGCCGGACCCTGAGCCCAGCCGAGCCGTCCATCCCGGACAAGGGGGCATTCACCTTGGTAGGCAAAGTCTTGTTGAAAAACCAGAGCCAAGTAGTGTTTAGCCACAGGGGCTTCAAGGCCAGGCCACCATTTGGCCCGACGGAAGCCACCCTCCCTTCCCCTGCTGTTGTGGCCCAGGAGCTCTGGAATAAAGGACCTCTTTCCCTTAACCATGTGGCCCATCTCAAGATCTGTATCACCCACGTGACAGGCAGTGGCATCCCTTGCATCAAGCGGTTGGAAGTGTGGGGTCAGCCGGCCAAAACCTGCTCTCAGGAGGTGATAGATAGTGTCCTGCTGGTTGCCTCAGAGAACCTCCCTCAGGACTTGGCTCTTCAGGCACCAGACCTGCCCATGGAGAGTGACTGTGACCCCGGGGGCCAGTCTGAGGGCCAGCAGGCCCCCTCCAGCCTGCAGGAGCTGGCTGAGGTAATTCAGGATGTGCCTGAGGAGTTCCTGGATCCCATCACCTTGGAGATCATGCCTTTCCCCATGCTGCTGCCCTCAGGCAAGGTCATCGACCAGAGCACACTGGAGAAGTGTAACCGCAGTGAAGCCACATGGGGTCGAGTGCCCAGTGACCCTTTCACAGGGGTAGCCTTTACTCCGCACTCCCAGCCCCTGCCTCACCCCTCCCTGAAGGCGCGGATCGACCATTTCCTGCTCCAGCATTCCATCCCCGGCTGCCACCTGCTTGGGAGAGCACAGACTGCCCTGGCAGTGACCCCTTCTTCCATTGCCATGCCATCTCGGAAAAGGAAGATGGAGCAGGATGAGCATGCCCCGGATGGTAGCCTTGGTGTCAGTGCTTCCTGCTTTTCTACCACAAGCCTTCTGGTCTCACCCACTACCTCAGAGCACACCTCTAAGAAAATGAAAGCCGCCAGTGAGCTCGGTCTGACACACATGGACTGCTCAACAGGTAACCCACCATCCTGTGTCCATGCCTGTGGTCATCTTTTCTCCTCCCAGGTGACACTTGGCACTATTGCCCTATGTTTTTAATTTTTTTCTTTATTTTTAGAGAGAGAGGAAGGGAGAGGGAGAGAGAGATAGAAACATTGATGAGAGACAACATCAGTTGGCTGCCTCTTGCACACCGTCCACTGGGGACCTGGCCCACAACCTGGGCATGTGCCCTGACCGGGAATTGAATTGGTGACCTTTTGGTGCATGGGTCGACGCTCAACCACTAACCACACTGAACGGGTGCCCTATGTTTTTGCTTTGCCAGCTTAAATTACCCCAAAACTTACTGGCTTAAAGCACCACACATTCATTACCTGATAGCTTCTCTAGTCAGGAATCAAGGCGTTGCTTGCCTAGATCATCTGCTTCAGACTCTTCTAAGCTGCTGTCAAAGTGTTGATGAGGCTCCAGTCATCCCAAGGCTTGACGGGAAGGATTCACTTCCAAGCTGTGGTTGTTGCAGGATTCATTTCTTTGCTGAACGGTTGCACTGGAGGCTTCACTTCCTTGTTGGCTGGTGACGAGTCTGCACTCAATTCGTTCCACCTGGGCCTCTCAAGGGCAGCACAGAACATGGTAGCTGTGTACACAAGAGAGTGCAAACAAGGTGGAAGATGGATTTATATAATCTAATCATGAAAGTGACATCCCATCACTTTTTCTGTATTCTGTGAGAAGCAAGTCACTAAAGTCCAGCCCACTCTCAAGGGGAGGGCGTACCCAAAGGCACAGGTATTAAGAAGTGGGGTTCATTGGGACCTATTTCAGATACTCTTCCACATCATTTAGTTTATTCACTGTGTTTATCCAAGATTGGTTGAATTTTGTCAAATGCCTTTTCGGTATCAATGGAGATGAAATTACGATTTTTCGTCATTAGGTCTTTTAATGTGAGAAAGTACTTTAATAGACTTCTTAATATTGAACTATTGCTACATTCCTGGAGTAAACTCCATTTGGTCATGCTTCTTTTAATGGGCTGCTCAATTCTGTTTGCTAGTGTTTTATTTAGGATTTTTGCATTCATTAGTGAGACTGGACTGGTGTGTGTGTGTGTGTGTGTGTGTGTGCGCGCACGTGCTATATTTGGTCAGGTTTGGTATGAATGATTTGCTTCATAAGAGAAATTAGAAATTTTCTTGACAGATTGGTTGGTAACAGAGGACCATGCTGACCAGTGGTCCTTCAAGGGTCCAAGCTGATGTCCTGTGTCCTGTAAACTGTAGACAAAATACTTCATTCCCCACTTTGGGCAATTTTGTGAACCAGGCAGGTCTCTGGGTCTTTCCTTGGGCAGCTGTCCCCCTCTGCTCATTGCTTTCACCCTGAGCCCATTGCTTGCCTTTCTGCAGACCACACAGAGAAGGCCCCTCCATAGTGGAGTGGGCAGAGTGAGGTCTTCATTGTTCCACTCAGTAATAAGTGCTTTGCTTTACCCAACAGGAGAGAGGACACAAATGCCTGGAGAGTGCAGGCCAGCAGCCCTGCAGAGCAGTGGGGTCTCCAGAAGGGAGGAGATGGAAAGAGCAGATTAAGGCTGCTGGGAAGGGAATGGGGGCAGGGAGCAGGGGTGCAAAGCTGGATGTTTGCTTGCCACAGTCATTTGCTTGGCCTGCAGGGAGGCCTTCAGAAAGTAGGCTGCAGTTCTGCAGGTGAGCCACAAGGTGGCCCCTACTTGCCTGCAGTTGTCCTGGAGGAGGAAAGCTGGTGCAGAGCCCAGGAACCCAGAAAGCCGAGTGGGATGGGTAGCAACTGTCAGGATCCCCAGGTGTTAACTCTGGTATTCTGTCATCACAATCCACTGGTAGACAGTGGGAAGAATTTTCTTTTTTTTTTTTTAATCCTCACCCGAGGACATTTTTCCATTCTTTGTTCAGATAGAGTGGGAGGAGGGAGAGAAAGGAAGAGAGAGAGAGAGAAACATCGACGTGAAAGGGATACATCGAGTGGCTGCCACCCGCACAACCCAACCAGGGCCAGGGACAAACCACAACCGAGGTACGTACCCTTCGCGGGAACCGAACCCAGGTCTCTGGACCGCAGGCCGACACTCTAACCGCTGAGCCAAACTGGCCAGGGCACGTTTGTGTCTATTTAAAGTTGGAAGTGCCATTTTGTCCTCAGTGGACTTTGTATTTTGGTCTTTTCTGTTGCCGAAACTCTCTGGATATTGCTGTCTGTGCATCTCTTGACAGGGCCAATGTCTCATGAGCAGAAGCTGTCACAAAGCTTGGAAATTGCCTTGACGTCCACCCTTGGCTCCATGTCCTCCTTCACGACGCGGCTGACCAGGGGACAGCTCCAGCACCTCGGCACCAGAGGGACCAGCACTTCCTGGAGGGCAGGCACTGGCCCGGGTAACATGGGTCCCGTCCACTTCCTTGGAGCCCTTGAGTGGGATACTGGGCCATGCCTCGGGCTCTCTGGACTGTCATGCCCAGCTCCTTACCGCCAGCTCCCAGGCCTTGGGGAGAACTGCTCTCTCCTTTTTTGAGGGGAGCTGAGGGGCTGCCTGTGCAGCTGGGCTCTTCACAAGAAAGGCTCTCTTAGTCAACCCGTAGTTGTGTGGGCTTAGGGCTTGGCTACCCTCTACCCTGCTGTGTGTTTTTGTTAAGATCCAGTGTTAATTGTTCTGTCCTGGGGACTTTTGTTACGCCTTTTTAGTTTGTTTTTCTTATCTAGTCTGTCTTCCATCTGAAATTTGAGGTGCTTTATGTAAGTGTGAATTTTGGGGTTGAGTATGTCATCTTTTTTTCCTATGAACATTTTCTTAGTCTTAGAAAAGAACAGTGGTAGCTTACTGAGCCAGTCTTTGCCCAAAATGAACTTGGAACCACATTGGATGATGGAAGCAATTAGAAGACAGAGTGAGAGGACCTGACTGGAATGCTGGGCATCTTCTCTGGTTGGGTCTGGTGGGCTAACGACAGAGCCAGGCCCTCTTGTAGTCTAGACCGCAGGTCTTCCCATCTGCCTCATCCCCACCTCCTTTCCGATTGTTTCCATCCTCGCCATTCCCCAAAACTTGTTTTTTCCAAATGACCAGCATTTCCATGACCATAAGCACATGGTCGCCGATCCTCTCTGCAGCGCCTGATACGGCCGACCAGCCCCTCCTTCCTGAAACACCTTCTCTCTCTCTCAGCTTCCAGATGTACACTCTCTTCTCACCATTTTCGGTGGTCCTGCTGCAGTTTCCATTGCCAGCTCTCTCTTCTCTTCCGTGCTCTGGTCCTGGACCACTTCTCTCTGTCCTGGCACCCAAGTGAGAGCCCACTTGACCGGTGGCTGCCCATGTTCACCTGTGTAGCTCCTACCTTTCCTGGAACTCACACCCTGACCTCCCTGAAAGCTGTTTGGCACCTCCACGTGGAAAACTATGGATATCACCCTGGCTGGTGTGCTCAGTGGTTAGAACGTACTGAAGGGTTGTAGGTTTGATTCGTGGTCAAGGGCACGTACTTGGGTTGCAGGTTTGATCCCCAGACACAGTTGGGCCGCGTGCAGGAGGCAACCAATCGATGTGTCTCAGTTACATCAATGTTTCTCTCTTTCTGTCTTTCCCCCTCCCTCCCTCCCTCCCTTTCACTCTCTCTAAAAATCGATGGAAAAAATATTCTCAAGTTAGGATTAACAAAATATAAAATAATTAAAAACACACAAAAAAAACTCATGGATAGCTTGAGTGAACTTTTAACTTAGAACTGCTCCAAAGGTTCCCCTCCCCGACCCCCTATCACACCATCAAGGGCAAAGAGCAGCATCTTCTGTTTGGTCAGGCCTGTAACGTGCAGGTCATCCTTCGTTTTCCTTCGTTCTCCTCACACTGACATTTTATTCTGTTCATTATCAAATCTTGTTCATACTCCTCCAGAGTAGGTCTCAGGGTGGCCCTCTGCCCGCCCTTCCCGCTGTGCTCCCCAGACGCCTGTAGCAGCTCCTGCTGCTTCTTAACAGCCACCCTTTCCTTACCGTAGCCCGTCATCCTCACAGGAGCCAGAGAGACCTTGTCATGTAGACTAGATCATGGTCCTCTGCTTAGAATTCCTCCACTGCCTTCCATTGACCTTGGAGTGAAATCGAACTCCTGCTGTCTGGAGTCCCACGTGCTCCAGCCCCTCCCTCCCTCCTCTGCCATCCCATCTGGAGCCGCACTCCCATGTCACATGTCCGTGTCTTCTTTCTTTAATGGACACCCCTTCTTTGTATTTGCTGTCTCTCTCACTCTGCATGGCTTTTCATTCTTATAGCTTTTCTCCAAAAGGCCATCCTTGCCCTCTCCAGAGGGGTGTGGATTGAAAGAAAGAGCAGCCTCTTTAGGCAAGAGCCACGAGAGAAGAGGTGCCGCTTGGGGCAGGAGGTGGTGGCAGGACCTGCCCACCGTGGCCCTCATTCAGGAGGCTCTATGGGATGTGTGGAAGGAGAGAGACTGCAGCACATTAGGCGCTTGACAGTCGGGGACGGAGCTTCTGAGCCGCAGGGCTGAAGAGGCTGGCCCCAGGCTCAGCTGGCAGGTGTGCTGCGGACAGACCTCCGCCTGCCCTGCTGGTGGCCTCCCGACCCCCTTGACCCGCCCAGTCCTGATACAGCAGACTGTTTCCTGCTTTTTCCTTTTCTTGTCGCTTCTCACCTGTCTTATAATTTATCAAGGTTGTCAGGGTGAGCTTGTGCCTTGCTCTGGCCTTGGGAACCTGTCCCAGGGGAAAGTATATCTTGGGAGACAGAGGGAGGGCCCAGTGCTGCCCGATTGCCCTGAGAAGCCAGCTCTTTTTGAGCATTTATGGGAGCACTGAGATTTGATGATGGAGATGAGGCCTTCCAGGTTCCCAGGCTCCCTGGTGCCTCTGCTCCCAGATCAGCCAGAGGTGGCCAAGGGAGGGACACAGCCAGGCTGCTGCAGGGGTAGGGAGCGGCGGGCAGCTTTTCATCCCACTCTAGGCATGTGCCCTGCCTCCAGGGTGGAGCCTGGACTAGGGCAGCTTTCCCTAACCCTGGCCTGTTTCCTCCCTGACTCACCAGAGCAGCCTGGGAGCGTCCTGGGCCCCGAGTGTGCCTCCTGCAAAAGAGTATGTTCTCCCTACTTCAAAAAGGAGCCCGTGTACCAGCTTCCCTGTGGCCACCTCCTGTGCCGGCCCTGCCTGGGTGAGAAGCAGCGCTCCCTGCCCTCGACATGCACAGCCTGCCAGCAGCCATTCGCCAGCCAGGACGTGCTGCGGGTCCACTTCTGAGTGCCTGGCCTCAACCTGAGAAGACCTGTTGTTGGGAGGAACAGAAGCGAGGGTCATAGCTCCCTGAGGTCTGGCCAGTCCCAGGCACAGAGGGGCCTTCTCTTTCCCAAGGGCTTTCCCTTTATTGCCTCCCACAGTGGAGCACAGGCCGGGAGTGGGGGGCACTCCACTCCGGCTTAAGTGGCAATAGGATAGCAAAGCCATACTTTGGGCCAGGAGGGATGGGGGAGATGTCTCTGCCCTCCTGTACCTTCCTGCCACCCCCCTTTCTGCCAGAACCCAGGGCCTGCTGGAGCCAGCCCCACCCTGCTGAGGGCCCCCAAGTTATTTGCACCCCCAATCCTGCAGGGTGGATATGCATGGAGCACAGTAAGACTGTGGCTCTGGGTCTCAGCCTCCGCCTTCAGTGCACCCAGAAGTGGACTGTGTGGGGTCTGCGGAGTGAATGACTCGGCCCCCGACGGGCAGACTACATGGAGCCTTATAAAGCGATGGTTATGTCTTCTGGGGGCTTCCTCCTGAGTTGTCTGTCTGCCGTCATACTCCTGTCCCCTCCTGCACCCGTACAGAATGGGATTGTCCCAGGGCGGCCGTCACAGGCACAGTCAGGCTGTAATTCAGGTCAGATGCCGTGTCGGGTTTGGCAGGTGGGTGTGCAAGGTGGGGAGGGAGGCTCGAGCGCCCTTCGTGGGGCTAGGTGCCAGCGCGCTTGGCTGTCTGGTGGCGGCGCTGGCTGTTGCCCGTGGGGATGGCACCTTTTCTGTCTGGGGCCCATTTCAGGAAAACTTGTTTGTAGGCCGCATATTTTTCCCCCGTACAAAATTTAGTTTTATGGAATTATGGAATCACAGAGGGAAAATATGTTTTCTTAATATTGTTTGCTGTATGGAATAGATTCTAGTCACTAGAAGAATGTCAGTGAGAAACCACCGTGCTTTTCCGTGTCTGGCAAGGAAAAGCACAGAGAGGCTGCATATTTACCCTTGGGATTCCATCACAGGACCTGTGGATGGGCCCTGGGGCCTCTTCCCGCCAGCTCCGAGCTTCCTGCTCTCTCCCTCCCCACAGGCCTGCTGGGGCGGGGGGCTCGGGGATGGAGGCTGGCGTTCTCTCTGGTTTTCAAGCTTTGCACACCGGCCAGAGAGAACTCGTCTTTACACTGGATTTTATTAAAAATTCAGCTTCTTGCCCTGGCCAGTTTGGCTCAGCAGTTAGAGCGTGAGCCCGCAGACCAGTGAGTCACGGGTTTGATTCCCGTCAAGGGCATGCACCTCGGTTGCGGTTTGTCCCCGGCCCTGGCTCTATCACGTTGATGTTTCTGTCTTTCTCTCTCCCTGCCTCCCACTCCATCTGATAATAAGTAGAAAAAAAAATTCAGCTTCTTGAACTCCAGTGCAGACCCAAAAATTTAGAGGTCTGGGGTTGGGGTTCAGGAATCTGCTTTTTTTTAGAGTTCCTGGGGGATTTGTATGTCCCAAAGGCGACTGCATCTTTCCCTCTGCTTCCTGGTGGCGCTGCCCTTGACGCAACCTCACGAGACTTCCAGTCTGCACTGGTGGCCTTTCTCCTGGCTGATGAGGCTCCCATGTGTCCTTGACTTTAAATGTCTGGGACATTCCAGATTCTTGCCTTACTCCCCTTGCTTGTTTGTGTTTTAGGTAAAGCCCCAGCATTTGTAGCAAAGTCACTGGAGTGGAGTAGGGGGATTTTATCTTTGCCTGTCATGGTCTCAGGGTAACAGCCTAGTTCCCACCAGCAGGTTGACAGCCTCAGGGAGCTCTTTGGTGGTTGCCCTGTTTGCCCCACCCCTGGGAACCACAGGAAGCTACCATCATGGGGTCAGCATAAAGCATGCCCTTCCCGCGGGGGCCTGCTAGGAAATTAGGCGGGGGAACCACTGGGATGGACAGTTCCTGTTCTCTGCGGAGGTAGAGCCACACCTGCATCCTATAAGCTCATTCTTATCTCATTTTAAAGAGCCCCACCGGGCCGGTATGGCTCAGTGGTTGAGTGACAACCCATGCACCAAGAGGTCACCGGTTCGATTCCCGGTCAGGGCACATGCCCAGGTTGTGGGCTCAGTCCCCAGTGGGGGGCATGCAGGAGGCGGCCAGTAGATGTTCTCTCTCATCAGTGTTTCTATCTCTCTCTCCTCTTCCCTTCCTCTCTCCCAAATCAATAAAGAAAAAAATTTTTTCTTTAAAAATCGCCCCACCGAAAGGAAGTGGGGGTTGCATCACCCTTGCCAGAAACCACTAAGCACTTCTGGGCTCAGTTTCTCTCCCCTAGAAAATGGGAATAACATTTATCTTGCCAAGTAGGTTCAGAGTCATTTTATTCCTCACTAGAGCCCAGAGCCAGGCACAAAGCAGCAAACACAAGGACTCCACTGACTCTGAGAGACTCGGCTGCAAAGCTTTGACGTGACCACCGCAGGTTCTGTGGAACACTTCGCCCTCTCCTGTGTCATTGACTCATCATGAAACCTGCTTGGGGTGTGCAGCCCTAGGCTCTCCCAGAGCAGGAGGCTGGGCTGTGGCCCCCGAGGCTGTGAGGCAGGGCCTGGTGCTCATCTCCAAGGTGCAGAGGCTGTCCTGGCTGTCTTCTCTGTGGGCCATGCTCACTCATGCTCTCTGCTGTTGCTCTCCAGCCTGGAGCAGGCGGGAAGGAGGGTGGCTCAGAAGTAGTCCTGGAGGTAGAAGACAGAAGAACCAGATTGCTAGGAAGAAGATGAGCAGCTGCTTGGTGCTCACAGAGCATTCCATCTCTGGGCAGTCAGGCCTGGGCCCTGCAGCACCTGGGCCCTGGGACAGAGCAGGCCCCCTGTCCCCATGCCTGCCTGCTTCCTCCTGTGGGCTTCCAGCTTAAGGCTGCTCAGCTGCTGGGTGCTTTTCTATTCCCCAGGAACAGGTCCTCCGCCACCTGGGTTGCTGTAAGTAGGTCTGCAGACAAAGAGATCTGCCCCTGGAGGAAACCGCCTGCCAGCCCACTGCTCACCTCCTGCCTGTGGTATTATGATGCTGGGCTGGCTGCCATTGTGATGGCCACTGGGTGGGGGTGGGGCCACCTCAGGCTGGCCCCCTCCTGCAGAGCTGGCCCCTCTGCCCACTTTCAGCTTCCTGCCCAGCCCTGTCCTCAGCTCGCGCTAGCCTTCCTGGCCTCTTGGTTTGCTTGCACAGGTAGGACCCTTCTTTCCAGTTCTTGGAAGGGGAATGGCTGGGTTGGGAGTTAGCCAAAGATGCACTATCCCATACAGTAACCACTAGCCTCATGTGGCTATTTAAATCAGTTAGAAATAAATAAAATGAAAAACTCAGTTCCTGAGTCACATCAACCACATTTCTAGTACTTAATAGCCACATGTGCTGGTGGTTATTCTTTTGGACAGCACGATATAAAATATTTCCACCATCAAAAATAGTTCTGTTGGCTCAGCCAGTGTGGCTCAGTGGATGGAGCATCATCTCATGGACTGAAAGGTCCTGGTTTGATTCCCGGTCAGGGTACATGCCCAGGTTGTGAGTTTGGTCCCCAGTAGAGGGCGTGCAGGAGGCAGCTGATGGATGTTTCTTTCTCACACTGATGTTTCTTCTTTCCTCTCTAAAAAATCAATAAAAACCTATCTTTAAAAATGCCAAGGCTGGCCTGGCTGGTGTGGCTCAGTGGTTGAGCATCAAGCCAGGCACCAAGAGGTCGCTGGTTTGGTTCCTGGTCAGGGCACATGCCCAGGTTGTGGGCCCGATCTCCAGTGTGGGGCATGCAGGAGGTGACCAATCGATGTTGTCTCATTGATGTTTCTTTCTCTCTCTCCCTCTCCCTTCCTCTCTCTCTAAAATCAATAAAGAAAAAAAATTTTTTTAAATAATGCTGGGGCTGATTTGGCTCAGCAGTTAGAATGTCAGCCTGTGAACCGAAGAGTTGCGGGTTCAATTCCTGGTCAAGGGCACGTGCCTCAGTCGCAGGTTCAATCCCCAGCCCCAGTTGGGGGGGGGGTGCGGGTGGCAGTCAGTCAATCTATCTCGTTCACATTGATGTTTCTCTCTCTCTCCCTCTTTCCCTTCCACTCTGTCTGAAAAAATCAGTGGAGAAATACTCTCTAGTAAGGATTAAAAAAACAAAAAGATCATCTTGAAGAACAAACCAAAATAATGAGGAGAACCCTGAAAATGAACAGTTTCATCTGGGGTGGGGGAAACTAACCTATAAATATATAGACCAATGAAATTATTAAAAATCCAGAAATTGGCCTGGCCTGTTTGCTCAGCAGTTAGAGCACTGGCCCACGGACCAATGAGTTGTGGGTTTGATTCTGGTCAAGGGCAAGTACCTTGGTTGCAGTTTGGCCCTGGCCCTGGCCGGGTCATGCAGGAGGCAACCAGTTGATGTGTCTCTATCACCAATGTTTCTCTCTGTCTCTCCCTCCCTCTCACTCTATCTAATGATAAATGGAAAAATATCCTTGGGTGAGGAATAAAAAAAACAAACACTCGCTATGGCTGGTTTGGCTCAGCAGTTAGAGCGTTGGCCTGCGGTCTGGAGAGACCCGGGTTCGGTTTCCGCTAAGGGCACGTATCTCAGTTGCAGTTTGTCCCCGGCCCTGGTTGGTCGTGCGGGTGGCAGCCACTCGATGTGTTCCTTTCACGTCGATGTTTCTCTCTGTTCCTTTCTCTCCCTCCCACTCTATCTGAACAAAAAATGGAAAAATGTCCTCGGGTGAGGATAAAAAACACACACCCAGAAGTAGGTTGCGCTGCGTGTGGAGACCCAGTGTGCTGCGCTGACGTTGGCGATGAACCAGGGAAACGTGGATCTCTCAGTAAGGTGCTGGGGTCACTGGAGGAATGAACCCGTCTAAGAACCGGAAGAAAATGGACAATGAGGAGTTCCTAGGAGTGAGGAAAACTTCCCCGATTCAAAATCCAGATACACTAAGGCGAAAGACTGATCAATTTGACTACGTATGGATTAAAAACAAAAACCCCAATGTTAATAGAAAAAAAGAGTCATCATTAGCAAAGTAAAAACAAATTACAAGCTTGGAAAATATATTTGTAACTTGTTTGACAGTGGTCGATATCGCTATAGCTCCTAAAAATCAGAAGGATACACAAAGAAGTGCACATAACCTTTTAAACATGTCAAAAGATGCTCAACCTTGCTCATGATGTGATGAAATAAAAACCCTGAAATACCATTTCTTGTTGAGCAGATTGGCACAAGTCTCCGAGTTTGGCCAGAGTCTGCTGGTGAGGCTGTGGACTGGCAGGCGCTGTCCTGTCTGCTGGCAATGCAAGGGCTGCAGCCCTGTGGAGGGGAATGTGACAGTACCTAGTGAGGTTGCACATGCGGGAACCCTCTGACCCAGCCTCTCCACGTCTAGGATCCCAGCCCAAAGGTTCCCTGGTGAAAATATAGAGAACAACTCGCCCTACCAGCAAGCAGCTAAGCAGCCAGAGCTAGTCCTCTGGGAGCTGAGGAGCCAAGTCAGAGGGCCCTGTGGAGGGGCCAGCTTCACCCAGAGGGTAGGCCCAGGAACTAGTGGTTCACACGTACATGTTCTGTATATACGATCGAGATTATGGGGACTTAGAAGGCCATCCATGTGTTTGCATTCAAAAGTTTTTTAAAAAGTGTCTGTGTATTGAGCACGCTGTCCCAGGCATTGTGCCATGGGTCATATATATCATCTTATTCAATCCTCACAGCTCCTGGAGGAAGGAAGAAGCTGACTCAAAGGCCACCAATTTTTAACCCCAGAGATGTTCTGTAGGTAGCAGAGGCTGACAAGGAGCTGACTCAGGTCCCCTTACAAAGGTGGCCTGGATGCTGTCACAGAAGGGCCTGTGAGGATCCCTCCATGGAGTTGGGACCCTGTGCAGGCACAGGGACACCGATAGCACTGATCTGGTGGGAGCCCACCCAACTCCACGATTTACAGGAACCTATCCACTAGGGTCCAAGCTCACCCTACAACCCAGAACCGGAGCACAGAAAATCTAATTATGGAATAACTCATGACTAAGCTTTTGAAAGCTCAGTATTACACCTCTAGGCACAAAAATAAAAGATGTTCCCTTAATAAAGGCTCAGCAGAGTTCACGTCATGTAAAGGATAAATCTCCCGGTTGAAATGGCAATGGTGATTACCTGTC